ACCAACAGAGTTTCTAAAAAAAAATTTCATGACACTACAATATTTGGAAACAGATGGATGATCACTAACATATTGTGATAATATACAACGAAGACTTTACTTTCTTTTATATTGAGGTTCCACACCTCTTTCTATATATCGTTTTGTCTTTGAGCTCAAGATACTTTTCTTTGTATATAAAACAATATATCGGTTCAAACTGGTGGTTTGCTTACAAAAATAACACCATTAGTGCAATTTGGTTACATTATAATTGGCCGAATGTACCAGAAGTTTTGCAAGCAAATTTCTTCTTTGAAAGGATAATATTAAGATATGTAATTTTTTTATATTGCTATTAATAGTATTATTGCAACTGTAGCTATGCATATACTAACTTCAACTCCTTTTACCGTATGATTTATCACTTTAACTCAACTACTTCAGATAATAAGTTTTTATTCGATCGCATTTTTATGTTGCGGAAAGTTGTCACAAGATCTGCTAATCTTGCTGCCATGTTTCTCAACTCATTTTAATCAATTTTTATAAAAAATAATCTGATATTACTAGTTGCATTCTCCCTGTCATCATGTGTGATTATCCACAGAACCGTCAATCAAAACTTCAGAAATATGTCATTATTGATGCAGTGGTGAATGTATAAGAAATGAAAATGAAGTCCGAACTGCGAAACGATATACAGAAATGAATTTTCTCTCTTTTCTCTTGACAATTCCTAATCATTCCCTATATAATATCGGACAATGACAAGCTTCCATAAAACATATACAGGACATCATGTAATCCATTTATAAATAAATGGGAGCATATTATCCGAAGGAAGACACTAGCGACCTTCACATTATTTCCATCTGGAATAATTAAACTCTATTGATATGTTTCTCTATCGCTAGCGAATAATGAAATGTAACATCAAAATTTCGTTCAGTACGCTCCATGGAGTACATGCGCTTGAAAACATGTCTTAAACGAATAATTAACGTAAACAATGCTTAGAAAGAGATAACATGGAACTCGTGAAAATGGAGTCATTTGTGATATCACTACCATGACTGAAACAAGGAGGAATTAAGCAGAATAAACAATTTAAAAAGCGTGAAGCAATGTCGAACAATTAAAAAAAAATCATCTAATTGAGGAAAAAGCATATTTTCACCAACGCGATAATTCAAATAATAATCTACCAAAAATTAAGAAACAAAAACGGATAATTCAAAAGGGTTAACCCATCAGGAGGTGATACAAAATATCCAAGATGAAAAGAATGAATTTCAACTTCATGACACTCAGCATATCCAAATTCAATTTAGTGCTATGTAATATCTCAACAGGCGCTTAAGTAAAGTTAATTTTACGAATACATGCATGCTATTTCACTATTCATAATTTTTTAGCAAGGAAAAGAGCATGATTATCCGCCAAAGATACTCCAATGATGCGATAACCATCAAGATGTGCCGAAGTAATCTTCTGTGGTCGTGGAACCATCTTCTCATCATCATCTTTGATCCCCAAACCAAGCTGACCAGAAGAATCATAACCCCACGAGTAGGCACTCCCTAGAATAATAGGCATTTCCTCCTGATAGTACAGATTCTAGAAATTGTACTCTAATAAACTTGCGCCCATCAGGAAGCATTCTGCTGTTTAGTACATCTGCTTGAGAAACTAACCATACTTTCTATGGTTAATAACTTATTGGCAGGAAGTGATAATGCAAAACTTACCATTATCTGTCCAAACAATCGAGCAACCAAGGCTAACCGATATTCCTTTGATCGGTTCTGGTACATCGATCTTCTGTAGTTGCAAATACTTCCAGTGATCATCCTCTTTACCACCCCACGTACCCAATCCTAGCGCATTGTCTGTGTTTTTCCCAATGCCGTATACTTCACCTAACAGAATTTTATGTTTTTAAAAGTACTAAATAATTATATCAGAAACATTTCAACAAGTCACTAAATATTTCTAACCATCGATAAGATGAAAATTAACTCGAAAAGTAGAAATGAAATGGTGCTGACAAGTACAAATTAAAATATATACAGAAAACTCTCAGTTTTAAAATGATGTGAATTTAAAATGATGTGAAGTTATTACCTTGTGCATTCAGGGCAACGATATGCTGGATACCGCTCAGCTCAACAACTGTTATGCATTCGAATGCGCTCGCCTTAACCGGATGCATTATTTTCAGTTCTGGTTGATTATCTACAAAATCCATCATAGAACTAATTAATATATCTGATGAGAAGGCGAGAATTTTCAGATTTCTCTTTGGATAAAATATAGCAAGCTGGCCGTTCCGGTTCCTGAATGATATCAGACTCAATTTTTCTGGCTTCGAAAGAAATATAGCAGAACTCGAAGCGATCCGATTGTCGCACCTTTCCTACAAAAAATTTGTCTGCTTGGTGTAGCAAAGAGTAAATAAGGTATACATGAATTTTTTCATGTCTCGCCGAGCAGTGAACGAAAAATATGCAGCACAAACCTTTATCTTCTGGAGCTTCTCGTATTGGTATACCCAACTGTCCGAAATTGTTCAATCCGCAGACGTAAACAGCGCCATCAATGGAACGAGCAGCAGTCCAAAATCCACCAGCCATAATATTGTCAAATATTACCAGTTTCTTTCTCCCCTTGTCGTAAACAGAAATTCTCAACGAATCTGGAGAGTCGCTCACCATTCGCTGAGAGCGAATATGCGAAACCCGTGAACATCTGCCTAATTGGCCAACCGATCCATCGCCAAAAGTCAACACTTCCCCATTCTCTGTTAGCATTACCAGATGATTCTCACCTGCTGCAATCTATAAATTTTTCCAAAATTAATAAATGAAAGCAGTTGTAACCTAACTTAAACTAATAATTATCTTAATTTATTGTATACATGAAGATACCTTAACGATGACTTTTTGTTGATATTGCACTATGACCACTGGTTGTTTTTCCATCTCCAGCAGTGTTTCGTGGCTTTCAATGCAACCCGACATACCCTTAAACAAATGATTACTCTCCACTGACATCATGTACAGTGCATAATTTCATCAAGAGTTATTAACATAAAAATTACCCGCAAATTACCCCAAGCCAATACACTGCCTTTATCAGTTAGCGCTGCCGAAAAACTGGCACCAGCAGTAAGCATAACTACCTGAAAATACACCCATCTGATGAAAACCACTTATAATTCTTGTTTTATCACTAATTATCATTCTTCTCCTCTGCTAAAATATTTGAAATCAAGTCCAGAAATCGATTTTGAATTATCTATGCAAATAGAATAAACCTTTCCATGACGTTGTATGAGTGAACTATTGAATTTAATTGGAGTTAGCTTATCAGAGGATCCCTCTGGCTCGATACCCTCACCCGGTACAGTTCCTTTTTCGTTTATTCCACAACCATACACTGTGCCATCCTCCATTAACACCAGTGAATGTACTCCACCTGCTACTACCTAAAATGTCTTTAATATCTCCAAACATTTAATTCAAACAGTTCTGTCATCAGTCTGATAAATATAATACTGTTTTACCAATCAAAAAAACATTAGTTCGAGAGGAGTCTTTAAATTCTTGAAACAAATAGAGAGAGGTTTTTCGCATCCCATAAATCTTAAGCTGGAAAAAGAAACAAGCATAATATCATCTCTGTGAATAGCGATTAAACAAATCTGCTCCTCACTTCTTTTACAATTATTTCAAAATAATAAGTTAATGAAGATGGAAACATTATATCAACCTGCACGATTAATTTCTCCTCTGGAAGCGTATTAATGGCTCGCGGTTTCCGAGTTGTGCTCCGTCCTGGATGTCCAAGCTGTTCACCTTCACCACAACTCAACACTCGATCACCTTTCTCAACTGGCAAAAAATTCTCGACAGACAAATGAAACTTCTTCAATCGACGGGCAATTGAACTTCCGGCACTGCTGTCTAAAACACTGTCAAAACTATTGGTAATGTCGTAATACCAAATCGCGCAAAAAGTTTTCAAAAATAAAACAATCACCAGTTTTTATGTTACAATCCAATGCATATCTTTCGTTTAGGAATAAATATCGTTTTGGACCATATTAAAAAAGAAACGACGACAAATAACAGCTTTAAAATACTCAGCCTAACATCTGCACTTTGTTTCTGACCAGTCATATTCAATAAAGTTTGTCGGATCGTACCAAAAAATTCCTCTTGAAACTATCAGTATACTCATATATATTCCCAACATTTTTCAAAGCCATATTCAAAAGTACTTACTAAGTGTACGATTTGCTGTAGAAGAGGTGCTGTCTAAAGAGAGAAGTTTCCGCTTCTTTCCACGTCCACTGTTATTCACTAGCAAACTGTCGTCCTCACCCTCAATAACTGATCATTAAATTACAGTAAATAAGGTATATATGAGGCACGTAGTTAACAAGGTAGTTACTATTTTTTTTTTTCAGTATACTAGAAAGATACGCTTAGAGACAATCGGAAAAGAGTAGGCATGTATTTCGATTATAGAATATTACAATTACTGCGTACTCTCTTCTTCCTCCTTTCCCCTTCTTTCCTATATCTATAATTCAATGCCGGAAGTGTCAGATATTAAAAAGCAACATTTATATTATTCCTTCAATTCAGGCAGAGAATTTGCCAGAAATGTTAACAATACAAAAATCGCACTTACATTGATCAATGGAAAATGTGATGAAGAAATCGCTAGTTCCTCCATTTCGGTATGCTCATCTATATCTGCGGTGATTCCTGTTAACTGTGCCGGAGGTGCTGATGAAGAAGTTTTTGCCTTTTCCTTTCCCTTCTTCTCCCGTTTTCTTCCCTTCTTCTTTTCAGTATTTCGACGTTTTAGCTCCTCTACTGGTTGTTGGGTCACTTTACGGGCTACTTTTCTAGGAGCCATTTCCTTTAACACATTTTGTATCAAGAATTTTTTTTTAAATTCGGACGATTACGGAAGCATATACGTGAAGCGTATAACAAAACTGTTAATATAGCAACAGTGTAATAAAGTCCGATAGTTACGGTTATATAAAACTTTCCAATGACTATACAGTCAAATGTGTAATCAAATAAACGAGTAACAGTTTCGTTGAAATATGAAAATAATGATAGAAAGATGATCGCAAACAATTTGTATGGATCATGCAATGTTTCAAAATCAACATAATTTGATTGTAACAAATCAAAATTCTAACAAGGTAGACTTGATTAAATGCAAATAAGACAAAATAAAAATAATACACAAGTAAATAATCATAATAAGAGAATGACAAGAGCAACAATGCTTTCCGCAATCAAATTTCAAATTTATTATGTAAAAAAAAATTTTGTAACTTCAAGAAAAATCCAAAATTGAAGATCACATAAGCAATCGGTATAATTAGTTTAATCAATCAGAGCACTCAATGATTCCAAACATTTTTCAAGTAATTTCAGTACGGCACAGAACAATCTGTATTAACTGAGTGTGAAAATTTAAATCCCATTTGATATTTTCATTTCTTAAAATGAATGTTTATGCTTACTTGACGTGACCTCACGTTATAAAATCCATAGTCAATGTAAAAATATATCGTAGCTATAAAACATCGGACTAACTGTTCTCATCTTAATGGACGAATGTGCCGTATAGTCATTCGTATTATCTAAAAGTTATAAAATATCATCTATTACAGTCTTGGATAATTAATGTAACAACAGAATTTGTCTAATTTCACTAATCGCTTATCCTTCCATATGTTTTTGGCGTTTATTCGGCTAACATATCTTATTGCTTATTACACTAAAAATGAATGATCCAATTGGCATTAAAACAGAAAAATTGTTAATACCAATTGTCGAGAATCATGCTATCCATGATCAAGTAGTTGAACAGCTCGAATCATTTGATTTTTTTCATCTCTCCATATTTGTAGCATTGTTTTCGGTATCGCTATTTGGTAGCATTTGTCAATATGTCAAATGCATGTCCATTCAACTTTCTTTCATGCATTCTGCTAATAACCATAAATAGTAAACTGAATGACATTTTGGGTTATAGCAGACCTATCTTAATACATATCTTCTTAATTAAAATATTCACTCGGAAAATTTTAATCGTAGATTGACTAGTTGATTGATTAGTTATTTAACACCTTATGATCCATGAGATTATATGATAATCAAATAGACGATTTTCAATTTTCAGGGATTAGCACGATGATTTCATTTTGCCATGTAAATGTATCCGTCTCTCATATAAATCAGATTTTTTTTTTTTTGATTCGATACATTTACAAACTTCGATTAATATCATTGTCATATTCTATGGTAATTTCGTGATAAAATAATTGATAATTACATTTGAAATCAGATTATTGATAGACTAACTTTTAAGATGAGAAAAATTGATTGTGTTAAAGTTTTCCGATCACACTAATACTTTTTAATATTTAATTAGAATGAATAGGATCCAGTTGATATTGTGTGTTTTCTCGATCAAAAATTCGAGAAATACAACGGATATTTGAGCATCTTCGCAAACTCCAAAATTCACCTATGAACTTTGATTGGGACAAGAATCGATCCTTAAAATATTATGATTAAGCGATATATATATATGGCGCGAGATACCGATTTGCACAACGGCCGACAGCGACGGAGCTGCGTGTGTGTATGGATTTGCTGGTGTGCATCTATGCTGGAAGGAGGGAGGGTCAAATCGATTGATGTGGTCCTTTAAACTTTGACCTTGTGCGGGCTCACTTTTTGATGTTAATTTGTGAACGTGTCTTTGCTTCCTTTTTTACTCCATTCTTTTACTTCTGAATTTGTTTTTTATATTTTTTTATACTTTCTGGAGATTTTCATTAAAATAAAAAAATATATGTATATTTTACTTTCATTTATAGAGTAATATCACGAATAGATAGTGGATAGGTTATCCATCATTATCTCTGTAGTATTTTATTGATTCATAACAAAACATTAGTGTACGGTTCCTATTAGATCATTTATTAGTTCTATATTCATTTATATCATATTGTTTAGAAATTATTCCAGCATTGTTCTACAGTTAGATTCGAATTAGTTACATAGGTATTTGTTACCAAAATCATTGTTGAATAGCCTATACGAGAAGTATGTGTATTTATCTTTAATATTTTAATATTATTTCGATATTCCTTAGGTAAAAAGTACTAGTTCGTTGACTTCATTTAGTACTAAAATTTGCATATATTTGGCAAAATTATATTCGAATTAACCGTTTCATGCCCACTTATTTGTTATTAATTTTACTTGTCGGTTTTCTTCTCAGTTCATTTTTTATTACAGTTTTAAGGGAGTTATGGGTGATTTTGATGTACTTACTGGCGACCAGGCCAATATGCTGCGTCAATTTCAGGTTAATTTCTGTAATATGATATTTGTTCAACCTATCAAGGTATTATATTATTATATTACCTAATTCATATTAAAGGACGTTGAACTGGAATAGCTATTGCAGGAAGTGACAAATATTCAAGATGAACAAATGGCATTAGCAACATTGGCATCGTTGAATTGGGACTTGCCTAGGGCTATCGAAGCACAACTATGTGATGATGATGATATAGGTCCGATGGAGACCGATGATTCACTTGTAATAGAACATAATGATCAGCACGTACATCGAACAGCGCTAAGAGAGCTTGAAAATCGGTAGATTTACTTATTGATATTGGCACTTTAGATTCATCTTACGGAGGATGCAATCCCTTGCCAATTGTAGTGTCCCTAATTGCAATATCATGATGTTGCTGCGAATTTTCGAAATAGAATTCGTTATAAAAATTTAGCAGTCACTTTATAGATCAAGGAACAATTCAGTGGAGAATGAAAGTGAAGATCCTGATTTTTCTTTCGGGCGTTTGATAGCTGGCGGCTCATTGGAAGAATCAAATAGCAACCAAAGCTCTCCTCATGATAATGGTTTCTTTCTGTAATAATAAACAGACAAATATATGATGTTTTACATTCAATACTAAAGACTTTGGTAATGATTGCATGATCTGTCGAATTCTGATTACGAATTTTTTAGTAATTGATGACCACGCGCACAAAAAAAAAAAATGCATTGAGTGTCTATTCGATTTGGATAACGAGAATCACAGTCACTGTTGCAGTTATATTCGCAGTTGATCTCGTCCAGCCTCGATTACAAAATAGAAAACTAAACGATTGAATGATTCACTTAAAAGTTTTCATTTGAATGACGATTACAGGTTCGAAAACCATGGAATCTTCACCACATCGAATCTTGCTAACAGCATCATCTTCGGGTAGTGGCTCTAGTTCTCGTGTCACACGACTACGTCCACGTCTAACTGAGGAACTGCAGCATGATATTTCGCGTGTTGCTGTCAGTCGCCACTTTCTTATTGATGCAGAGAATAGTGATTCTACTGATAACGATGGTAATAATGATGATGATGCTTACCATGATGCTGTTCCTTTTGGACATTTGAATGAAGAAGATGCGGTAATTTATCATTTTTCCAAATGAGTTGTAAAATTTTAATTAAATTATTAACTTTATCCTGAAATATACGATAGCAGTTTGAATATATCGTACCAACAGATAAATAGCGAATAGTGAATGTTTTTGGTTATATTTATTTATTGATATCAGCTATTAAGTTAAAGTAAACTAAAAAATAGAAATATCGATATTAAAGCTGTACGAGTAATTTTTAATACTGGGAAGTCTGGCCTTATGTAAGTAAAATGAATTGTTAAAGATTGATCGTTATTTTTTTATTCATAATGCAAATGCAAAACTTATTTTCAGAAGCCATCATTTCATGATGATCGCGTGCCATTAGTGCCTTCTGATTTCACTTCCGTTGATGAGGCGTTGCATAATTTCGTAACTGTTTTTGAGGCTAGGTAAATTATTTTTTAGCTAATCTTATAATCTGTCTCGTTATAAATTTTATTCCGTGGTTTTAATATTTTGTGATTGATGGACAAAAAACTTTTCCTGTTCGCATGTTGATATACAGATGGGATCATATCACATTCAGAAGATCATCAACTGTGTAGCTATGTTTATTAAAATTTATAGATTCATTTTTTTATATTTTGATTTGTCATACTTGCCAGCTTTATCGTACTCAGCATGGTTGAGCTTAGCAAAGTGTAGTATATGCTTGCAACATAATACAGCCGTGAACAAAGAATACTTTAAGAAATTTGCCAATTAGCTCTTCTGATAAACTGAAATGAAATAAACACTACCAACTACTAATTTAATATTTTTTTTCACTTGAACTTGATATCTGAACAAGTGTTTGATAACTTTGTTTGCAGGTATGGTGGAAATCATCCACCCTTCTATTCTGGTTCTTTGCAAGATGCTTTACGTGAAGCACTGGAAGCACCGGCGCGGCCGGTTGCGGAGCGTCGGCCACTTGCCGTCTATCTACATAATGATCGTGCCATCGCGTGCAACATTTTTGCGAAAAATGTCATTGTTTTGTTTTCTGTAATTTATTTTGACAAAAAGTTCTTCCCCAATGCATTTTGTTTTATGCATTATCTTATTTTGGGTCTATTTTATATTATGCCATAAATTTAACAATAATGATTGTTTTGGTAGGATAAAGAAATTACTCCTTGAACATAATCTAATGCATTTTTTGTACTTGCAAAGTTGTTCCATTGGTTGTTTTATTCATTTAATGATGGTGGATTCACGAATGTTATTTTCAGGTACTTTGTTCAGGATCAGTTTCATCGCTTCTGAAAGGACAGTTTATAACGTGGCCTTGGGATATCACGCAAAAAGAGAATAGGCTTAAATTGTTTGAATGGATCGATATGTTAAACGTTCGCGATATAAGGCAAACACTAGAGAAGTATATTTGTATTTCGTTATATCGTATCTCTGCATAATGCATAATAATTCTATTACAACGTCTTTTAGCTTCATTCGTTTGTATGCTACAGTCTTAAGTGAAGTGATTAAAGTAAATTTAAAACGCCTCGATATCATGCATCATTTCTACTGGAGTGGATTCCGGTTGAATTTAAATGGATATTAAATCAGTTGTAAAATAAAATATTTTATTTAGATTTCCCGATGAACGTTTTCCTTTATTAGTGGTTATTATCAAGGAAAAAGGTGTCATCTTGCCAGTAAGTGTTGCTTGGGGTAAGTCACCTACCTCAGATATCGATAGTTTATTAATGTCCCTCATTTATCTGAATTTTTGAAGTTTGAATTACAATTTAGAGTGCCAAAATATATTTGTTATCAGGATGCGATGGACCGCAACAAGTAGTCAATAAACTGATGGAAGGATTGGAAGAATATCAACGTATCAAGACTGCCGAAGCGGCCGAAGAAAGAGAACGCATTGAAAGGTGAATCAATACTCATGTAATTATTTTAATGTATATTCTGTAAAATTCTATAAAACAGAGTAATACGATATAGATTCTCGAAATAATAGGATTATTAATTAATGTAACAATCTGATTTCTGCTTCAAGGGAAAAAATACGAGAAGAGCAAGCAAGAGAGTATGAACAATCGCTAGCACAGGATAGAGCTCGTCAGGAAAGACTTGAACGTGAAAAAAATGAACAGAAGTGAGTTGTGTCATTTTTCTCTTTCTTTGTAAAGGCATTAAAATAAAAATATCGCTATTCTCGGATATAGTATATATCAATGACTAAAATAGCGATAAATTGCAGAGCTGAAGAGGAACGTCGAGCAAAAGAAGAACAAGACAAAACAAAACGTTTGCAGGAGTTGGCAGCAAGTTTGCCGATGGAGCCGGCGGCAGACGAAACAAATATTGCAATAGTACGAGTTCGTTTCCCAAATGGAAGAATGGAATTGCGAAGGTAAATATTTCTTAAAAATGATACTTTACCGAGAAATGTAGTACATGTTAAGTTCATTATATAACTAAGCAATACATGCTATGTCTGAAAAGATTGGCATGTCCAAGAAGAAGAAAAGAATGCAATAAGAGTATGTTTATAATCTTACCATCCTTTCTTTTGTATGTAGATTCAAATCTAATTGTTGGTCATGCGTAAAACTCATTTAGTATTCAGCGGATTTTATTTCAGATTTCGTATGAGTGAACCGCTTCGTAACATAACGATCTATGTTGAATCAAAAGGGTATAGTTTGGATACACATCGAATTTGGACCTCAGATATGCCAATGAAAAATGTGGTATGTCGTTAGGACGGTTTCTTACCCCACTTTCTAATTTAAGCTAAGAACGAGAGCAATATTTTGATACCTTCTAACTCCTCAATTTATCCCTTCATGTACTTTTCGTTTATATTACTTTTTTGCTTCCTTATTTCCCCGGATCATGAATGACTATAAAATTGATTTCATATCGTGTTTATAGAATGAATGTATCATTTACAGGTAGAATCATATGATCTCAACCGTTCATTAGCGGACATTAAATGGCCGGTTCGCGAGCAGATCACTGTGGATGAAAAGTGAATATGAAGTGGTAGCATTCGGCAAAACTACAGTCGTGTCTCAGTCTCTCAGCAGTTAATGGAATTTCTTATTTAGGATTATTACCTATCTCCATTTACTTCAATTTTCAATAATTACCGTTTATTGCAAAGCAGCAGCAAAATTAATTTGAATCAGTAATAATACCATCAGCATAGCATTCAATTGTACATAAAGTTTGGTTAGAAATTTCTACTGAAGCTCTGTTGGACGTATCACACATTTATTTTTGCTTCAGATTTCAATGTCTTTTGAAATTCGTTAAGTTTAAATTTATTTCTAAAGCTATCATTTAACCCGTTTCAATGCTTACATTTCTTTGCTACTTTTTCCTAACTGGTCAATTTATGTAGCATTCGTATTAATTTCTCTGAACATTAATATTACTTCCCTGATTTTTGAAAAAAAATTTCCCTTCACAAGGTGACTTATTTTTTTTTTTTTGAAAGTTTCTTTTAAATTCAAAAAAAGACAGATGAGCAGTTGTAGTTCTCATCTATCATTTATAATTTCTGTCAGATTAATTGACAATTCTGTTACAAAAAGGAACGAGACGAGATAGCAGGTAAATCATAAGTTATTTAAAAGTGCACTTATTCGGTTTAGATTTGATTGTTTCAGTGTGCTGTATTACCTAGAAGCTTTTTTGTAACTTAAAGACGCTCGAAACGGTAGCACCGCTTCCTGTACTATTCGGATAGGGACTGGAATTCTTTAGTTATCGCTCTGTCAGAATTACAAATGGAATTATGGTAATTCTGGTTATTTGATTCAGTTATATCTTGCCTCATTCTCGAAATATCTCGGTGCATGAAGCAGTAATAGAAGATGACGTTTACTGGTTGGTACTGCTTTATTTTATTGGCCTTAAGTCCTCTGCTATTGTCTTCATGGTCATTTTTGTCTCCCTCCATCAATGTTTTTATTTTATCATTTTCATTTTTTTTTAGCTGTCTGTTTGCCCACATTTTGAATATGTTGACGAAATATTGTTTACATGTGAATCACTCATGGTCACTATTGCTGCTATTGTTTAAAAGTAAAGCGTATGTCTTTCACTGGTGTGCGAATAGGGCCTGTTTAGGAGGACATACTTATGTTTGTGTGCTAGCCTTTTTATCCCGTCTGATTTCAGATTTTTGGTCTTTCTCTGACTTGAGAGGCAATTTTATCAATTAATTTAGTAACCAAATCAATATGACTAATGTAAATAAATTTTCCATCCTGTAGAGAAGATGCACAGCAAATGGTGAAACATTAATCAAATTTTTGAAGACATCCGACAGTTTTTCTTGAATGTCCTACCTTAATCAATCAAATTGGCCTATTGTTCACAAGATATTTTCTCAGAAATAACTGCAGCATGTATTCAGGAACAAAAAACGCTTTCTGCCTATGTGCTTGGTGGCATATGACCTTTATAATTTTCCTCTAAAAAAGCAAATTTATTCAACCATTGAAAAGGATTCCTACGCTTCACTTTATGTCAATCTGATAAACAACTGTGCAAGAAAAGCGTGACTTCAATGAATTCATTCTTTGTTTAACATTGCATTGATTTGCTTTTTATGCTTATTGATTCCGTTCTATTTTTCTACGCACTTTATCGTCAATTGGCTGATATCAAGAACAAACTTGATGATATAAGTAATACTAACGTTCACTATGTGGATCTAATGACGTATTTTGTTAGATGTTAGAAATTAAAAGCAAATGTTTTGGAGCTTTTGGGATAAAGGTACCGCTGAACAGCGTATTCTTACGCTTCACTTTATGTCAATCTAATTAAAAAAGACACGAAGCGTGAATTATCATTTGTAAACTGCCAATTAATATATGAACGTGTATTCTTTAACTGAAAGAATGAATTAGTTGAGGAAATGTAAGTGATCGGTGAACGTTCCTATATTCATTATGGATGTAATCTAGCACTAATCAACAATTAGTCACATTATCAATTAATACAAGCATTGTTAATGTTACTATCAGGAACTTTGTATTGTTCACTAATTAATACAAAAATATTATTGTCAAGTATCATTGAAATATAATTATTCGCTAAAAAGAAATAAGCTACCTTTAACCTTCCAAAAAATTAGTACTACTATTATTGTAATTCTTATAATTCATTTTTTTTTTATCGGTTGTACAGTATATTTCAAGTTATTTATCTCTTTATTGAAACCATTAACAAGGATTTACTTGAATTGCGCAATTTTTTCACGGTATAATATGATCAATTGAGGATTTTCAGAAAATCATACGTAAATATCGTATCGGCCAAGAATATATTAATATATCAGAAAATCATACGTAAATATCGTATCGGCCAAGAATATATTAATATATTAGCTTCATAAATATTCATTCTTGTTACGAAATTTCTAAATTTCCAGACAAAAAATACACACAACAAATTGCACATCACTTTTATAAAAAAATTTAAAATTTCAATAATAATTTATCTTAATAATGATATATATGGATGTATAAAAATAAAAACTTGGATAATCCATAACGTACGCTGCGTAAAACTTTTCCTTTTTTTTTTTCTTTCATTAAAAGCAACCATTCTTTCATTTACAATTATAAATTTTTTTTTATTTTATTTTAAATCATGCAAATTTTTCTAAGCTCTTCGTATAAATGCTGAAATATCACTCTCTAGACATTTATTGTATTGCATTCATCTGAGCAGTTGTTGATGTATAATCCATCCAAAAAAACAACTCTAATAAATGCCCCAGTGATAAATGGAACTGACATAAAAATTCCATTAAATTTTCGTGAAATCTTTGAAAAAATAACAAATCCGGTATTGTATCGAGAAATAGTTCCTGAGATTAACCAACGAGCCATAAAATATCAGCAATGGTTTTTTGATGAGCAAAAAAAAGTGGAACAAATTTTAAGCGATTGGTAAGGATAATGTGTATTTCACGTTTTTTCTTTTTTTTTCTTTAAAAGATAAGGAATTTTTGCTATGCAAGTAATTAATCACCACTCATTTTCCACATTCATTTTATCAAATATTAAATATAAATGAAACAAAGAAGAAGAAAAAGAAAGAAAATTTTTGAGGAGTATTAGGAATGAATTGGTAATAAATCAACCATATACGATATCAAATTTCAAATTATTTTATAATTTATCTTTGTTCAAATTAGGTTTAATCATTTATTTTATACAAGCAATTATATATATTGTAATTGTTATCGTAACGATTATGATGCTACAATTCATTATTGGATTAATTTTAAATTTATTATGATAGTTTGTCATAATTGAGATATTTTCTCGTTAATTTATTACAGTGGATACATGCTATCGGGAATAGGAACACAGATTAATCTTTTGCCAGATGATTTCTTAGTTCTTCTCAAAATCACCAATGAAAATAGTGGAAATGATGAAAATGAGGAATGCTATGCAAATAATAGCATGGCCGAACAAAAGTATAATATAAAATAATATCTTCATGATAACCATTGAACATATTTATTCAAGAATCTTTTGTTGTATAATTTTTTTTTTTGCACAATAGGCTCTTTAATTATAAATATTTAATGTTTGATAAATGATTAGATGCAAATTTTATTTGAATATATCGTGAATAATGAAATTATTTCATTAGTTGTGGTATTACTATAGCATACAACTTCAGGTCAAACTCATCACGATGTTGTAAGATGAATTTATCGCCATCCAATAATGACCATAATGATCGATCGCTTCTATCAACCATGGTACTCGTTAATTTGTTACATCTTTTATTAATTGATAATGAAATTCATGTTAATTATTATTCTTATTACTTTCATTTTTCATATTTATTATTAAGCAATTATTACTAATTAATCAATTTGATTTGTTATTATTATCCACATATAAACGATTTGTTGATGTTTGTACTCTTAAATTAATTTCAATTATTCGTTGTTAAGCTTTTTTCTCACCAATTACAAATTATACATTTTACTAATTATAGGTAGCAAAAGGTATACGTAATTTTTGTGTCAAACGAACAGCCAATGCAATTTGCAAAAAAAAAGAAATCATGAAAGCAGCAGTCGAAAAGACACGAAAGTAATATAAATGAAGAAAAAAGCATTTTAAATATTATTATTGTTTGCTTTTGCAACTATTTACAGCAAAAAAATTGAAAAGAAATATGAAAATGTAACGAGCGATACATTTAAGTTAAATAATATTTGTAAAATGAACAGATTTCGAGAAGATAGCCAAAGTCGAGTGAAGCGACATAAGAAGCAAATTGATAAAGAAAATGAGGAACGACGAAAGCAATCACTTACAAAAATTAAAAAACAAGTAATTTATTCAATTTTGAAAATACCTGTGACAGAAGTTCTGTTGCATCAATGCAGAGTTTCTCAACTAATTGTTAGATCTAATGATAATTTGAAATAGATAAATTGAATAAATTAACCATTAATGATTCTAATTAAAAATAGAATATTCACTATTCAATCATACAATTTTGCTGATAAAATTTCGAAAAACATTCATTGCTTTTTGTGCAGCAAAGGATCGTGCATAAACTTTCATTCGAAAGAAAATACTGACCATAGCCACTGCATATTTGCATGTTTAATCCATTTATTGCTCAGATTACTTAAAAATCGTCTGAATGAATGTAAAAGGTCATCTTAAAAATTATTATTTCTAACTACTTTAGGCTCTTAAGGCAGCTGCGAATAGAGATTGTAAACGTCATCATAAAACTTCTGGCGCACCTGTTGTTAAACGTGCTCGAAACATTCATAACTCAACTTCAACCTCTAAGCGAACTTGCAGCAAAGCAAAGGTAATACGAATTTCCTCAGTCATGCATATAATTAGTGAAATGGAAAAAAAAATGTCGCTTTGATTGATACCATATCATATTGATTAATTGATATGATATGGTTGTGGTTCTTTGAAAAATTGGTCGATGATGATTGAATTCTTGTAAACGAAGGAAAATTTTCTTCTATTATAATGATTAATGGAAAGGA